TTTTTTTTTCTTAAGCGTTGTAGCTATATAATTTCAAACATCCTCAAGAGCTATAACACATCTGCAGCAGAACTGGATATGAAGACAAAATTGCAGGACAGGAACACTTTAATTGTCCACTAATCTTCAGATTTCCTGCTATGTTTTAAAAAACTTTATTTGTGAAAAGTAAGTCAGAGAGGCGGACATCTGGCTGCCTTAGACGGCTAGTATACAAATAAAAATTCAGATAGAAAAATTATGAAACTTGTGAGAAAAATAAAAAATATTCTTTTCAGTATTTTTAAATTTATTTCTGTAATACTGTAAGCTTCCGGAGAAACTCAGGAGCTCCTTTGTTATATAATATTTCTCAACATATTTTGTTGCTTGATAATTTCTGAATCAAGAACATTCAGTTCTGTAGCAGCAGTTTTCCTCAATTTCTTAATTTCAAATCATCTATCTTTTCTTTTATTCGTTTTCGAGGAATTTCAGCTTTTTTATTCTTTCGTTTTTTTGCTTCTAATGCATGTCTCCATCTTGTTCTAGATCCCTTTACAGCATCTAGCATTTTTTCATTAATGTCTATGTTTTTTATTCCATTTATAAATGAAATATAATCATACACACACCTTTGTGAAATAATAGAGTCTTCATTGAGGTTTTCAACCAATTAGCTTTTATTGATTGAAAACCCCCCTTCGACTGTTGCGTTACCATGAGAGGATAAGAGCAATTTTTTTCATAATCATCCACAAATTTTCATTTTTTTCCCTTGTGCAAATATTTCGAAGAAAAAAAAAATCTAATCTCTTTTGCTGTGGATAAAACTTCAAGAAACTCTTTTGCTCTTCTTTTTTTTTGGCAGCATCACAAAACAGTAAAAACAGTCTGCTGTTTTAGCTACTATTGTCTGTAAACCAGTTATTCACACAAAGAGCAATAAGCCTAGCAACCCTATCAAAAATTCCTTATCATTGGATAAACAGGAGGAAAATTGCTAACAGGACAGGTTCTACCAGGAAAAGAGGAATATTATTATGACGAAATTACATATTTTGAATTACAGAATTTTTCCTTGAAACTTTATTTTTGCATGTCAGTCTTTGAATGAACTATAGTTTTTTTTTCTCCCTAACTTTATGACTATGTAAGAAAAATCCTGGCTTTTCCTGACTTTTTAGCTTAATTTTAGAATAGCCTGACTTTTGCAGGTGAAACAGATTAACTTTAATGCCAACAGATGGCGCTCTGACTGAATGAATATTATGAATATTAATGTTTTTATTTTATTTCATTGTTGATTTCTATAGGTTCGATGAAAGAATGATCGGATATGTTATGTCAGTCCTCTTCTTATTAAATATGTTTTATTATTAGAGTTCGTTTTCTTTTGAAGACAAGCGACTCAGTATCGAAGTCTGGTAAATAGGTAACATTCAGGTAGGAAAGAATATTTGAATTATTTCTATTATAGCAGGTTTTCCTGACCGTGTAGGATCCCTGCACTACAGTGAAACCTGCCAAGTTGACCACCCTTGTAAGTTTGGCACCTACATAAGTTGACCTCAATTATCAAGAACGGAATTTTTCCTATATAATATAGCGAAACCTTTGTAACTTGACCATCTGTCTATCTTGTATGTTGACCACTGAAATAAGTCAATTTTGTCTAGAAGTATGAAATTCTATTCTAAAACCCTCATAAGTTAACCAGAAAAAAAAAAAAAAACAGAAAATTTTCTGCAATTTTGGCAATGAATGTTAAAATTTCACTTGTTTGGTGAAACAGTGTAAAAAGCTAATCTAAACCCTTTTGTGAATTTACCATCAGGGGAAACTGTAAGGGGTCAGCTTTTGACCATTTCTTTCATCCGTTCATTGAAAACAGGTGTGTTAGTTGAAAAGTTGCTCTTCCAGTTGCAATAGTGAGCATTTGAATAAATGAATGCTCTGAAATATGCTTTAATCCTTTATTTATGGTCTTTGATCTTTAAGTGTAGTAAGGAAATTTTAAAGTGTTCAAATAATTTTATTTTGTTAAAATTTTCAAATTACATGTTTTCGTGTTCTGATATTTTAAGAAATTATATTTATTAAATACTTCACATGCATAACTAACAAAATAATTTTTAAAACAAAAATTAGTTAAATATTAGAATTATATGTATCAAATTGAAGTTCATTCAGGTTTAAACACATTTCTTAAGATATTCATTTGCATATTTTCTGAATAAAATTTTCAAGTCAAGTAAAAAAAAAAATTAAATGTATAGCAACATGATATAGGAAACGAAAAAGTGAACAGTGACCCACCCCCTCTATAAGTTGACCACTAAAACAATGCACCACAAGCGGTCAACTTACACAAGTTTTACTGTATATTTATTCATTTATTAATTTTTGCTTAAAGGGAAATATGTAATATTTTAAGACTTCTATTAACATTAGTTTAATTACAATATAATAGTATGCATTATATATAAACTAGAAATTATGGAAGAAGTATTACATTAAAAGAACTTTTGTTCTTCTGGTATTTTTTCGATTTCACGTGTTCGACTACATCAGTTTTACCATAATGCCCAGTGCTAAAGTCACTTTTACATACGTTGCAACGTACATCATGTACTCCAAAATTCGATTTAGAAATAAATGGTAATTCAAGAGAATAAGACTCATTGAAGAATAAGGCTTGTTTGTATTGTTTTCATTCAGCCATAATAAATGGACAAGGTAAAACTAATCAGCAAATAAATATCGCCATAAACTAATTGCTCTTTTGCTTTCGCGCCGGCAAACAGGAAGTCACGTGGTAACGGGAAGAGATCTCGCAACAGAAGCTGAATTCCTTCTCTCATTGGTAGAAGAGAGGAGAAATCCATTAAGTCACACTGCAAGCGGGCTTCTAAGGCCATTACTAGAGGAGCATCAATGCCCGACTCAAAGACAATACTAGCTATCGGCCAGACGGGGAAAAAGAGGAAGATCTTATCTCCTGCGCATAAAAAATAGCTAAAATAAGTAAAAATGTGTAAAGCTTCTGCAAAATGCGGAAAGGTTGGCAGCTATGCCTATATAACATTTAAAAAACTCTTATTGTGTCCCCAAAGTATGTAGGTCCTTGATATAATATATCCCTCTGCACCAATATATTTGGTTCTCAAAATATTATTGTAGTGAGGTTTTACTGTATATTATTTTACTTCGTAAGTTTAATCTTTATTGTACCCAGTATTCAGAAATAGTTCTGCTGCGGGCCATAAAATAATTCATCAATCATTTAAATCTTTATGAAATAAAATTTAGAATGCAAATTAAGTTAACATTAATTTCATACTATTCAGTATCTTATAATGTATGGGTGCCACTCTAAATTTTTTTTTAAAGACTGATCTTGACCTATTAACATGATCTAGAGTTACTTAGCAGAATTTTTCAGAAATTTAAAGCTCAGTTTGGATGACCCAAATATTATATTAATGAATTGATAAATTTTTTTAAAAAAGAAATTTATTTTCTTTATTTTAAAGGAAACAAAACGAAAGTAACAGCTTTTTACATCAATCTCCATAGGAATTTTTCTCCTAGAAGCTATTCCTATCTCAACCTATTTTCAGGGTATCTGCTACATTTTAGATTTTCAAATTCATTACTTTTCATGACTTTCCATGACTAATTCCAAGAATTTTTCATGACTTAGCGAAGTTACTATTTTCTCCAACAAAAACACAACAAATTAAAAAAAGCATTATAGCATTAATTGAAATGATAGGTATAACCAAAACTGCTATACTCTGCATCTTCTCATTTATGGATTTTAAATTTAAAATACAGAGTAAAGAAAGAGTTGAAACAAAAAAATAGCTAAAAAGAATACAAAAACAAATAATTTTTCTCCCATAGAATTATATTCTAAAGATACTTTTCTTGTTCATCTGAAAGGAATACTCCTGATTTTTCTGTTCTCATTTCGGAATAAAAAAAAAATTCGCCAATGACTGGTTTGCTTCAACTAGAATTTTAAATTGATAAAATTAAAAAAAATAAATAATAAAAATTCGTAAGTAACAGAAGATTTTAAAAGATAATTCCATCTAGAAATAATGTTTTTACTTTCATTTTTTGAAAGAACACCATAATTTTTAAAGAACATGATAAAATAATTTTATATTCTATTAAAATATGCCTGAGTGGTGATTTTGTTAGGAATTCTGATATTTGGAACAAGACGAAATTGTGGGAGGGAGGGGGGAAGATTACATTTTAAAAATTAGATTTTTCGGAAGAGGTGCAAGTGGCAAAACATGGTTTAGGAGCAACAAAGAAAGCAATTTTGGAGCAGGATAAAAGGAATTAAAACAAGAATTTAATAGCAAGAGTTTGAGTGGCTCATATAATTTTTTAAATTAATAATTACATTATTTAAGGTTATTGAGTGTATTTTCTTAAAATTTAAATAAATGTTATTTGTAATAGTATATACAACAAAACAGTAACAAGATTAATATTGATCATACCGAATTTATAAAAATACGTTAAGAATTAAGCAAACTTTAATAAATTTATATTTCAAATGTAAATTAGTGAATGACCCCTAAATTTTTAAAATTTAAAATTGGTTATCTAGTACAGTATTTTATTAATGAAATGATTAAAAAATTTTTTTTTTTAAATGCAAATACAATGAGAAGCAAAAAAAAAAGTTCAGAAATAAATAATTATACTGTCCCTACACTCATAATGTTTAAGAAATCTGTGATAATTAAATTTTTTTATATCAATTGTTTTAAATCAAATCATTAAGAGATGAATTAAAGTATTTTTGAATGACAAATTTGAAAAAACATAAGATTTTTTTGCTACTTTAAAAATTCGGAAAGCCCCTCTCTTCATACTTATTTAAAATCTTGCCTCTAAATATTATAAAGTTTTTTCCTAAATCAAAATAAGAGCACTGAAAATTTTAAAAGTAATAACACAATAATAAAATGCAATTAGTAAAAAAAATATTAGTAAAATAAAAAAGTAATTAAAATTTTTTTTTTTAAAAAAACAATATCAGTTAGTGGATGGTCCCTCAGATAAAATTTACCTTTAAGAAACTCAATTAATTCTTATCTTTATTATATTAAATTAATAAAGGGGAGATGGAAATTTGGAGGTTATGATGTTTTGTGATTCTTGACTGCTCTGAGGATCAACATGAGAATATGTACTTAGTGAATGGTCCCCAAGTTAATTCCAAGATCATGGGTACTATTCTATAAATTGAATAGAGCAAGAAAGCCATTAGCTTGCCATTGACGAAGACGATGGCACTTCAATAACGATGAAATTAACAAGAGATATAAAATGTTCTTTTGCTTTCAAAATTTGGCAATGTTTAGTTGGTCCCCGAAAATTCGAGGGAAGTTTCGGTTCCATTTCAGAGAGTGGAAAAGGAAACCTGAAATTGAGAATATCTTGCAAAATGAAGCAGAGTTGCATATGAGAGTGCAAGAATCCTTTCCACCTAATCCAGAGCAACCCCCCCCCCTACATGGTAGTAGCTGGGTTGCGCACTTGCAACACTGGACAGGGCTTAATCCAGGGCGATTTTGGTACCGTTTTCGGTACCTTCACAAAATTAAAAAAAAAATCGGTACCTTCACAAAAAAAAAATCAGTACTTCAACAAACTTTGAAAAAAAAAACGCATCTTCACGAAAATAAAAAAGAAAGTTAGAAGGAATTAAAGTGCTGAATAGTTTTCCGAGCGGTTCACGGAAAAGTGGATTCACAGTGAACGCCGTATGGTACGCCATCGGACGGCGTTCCGCGCAAGCGCACTAGCTCGAAAATAGGCTTGATATGCTGACGTCACTTCTCCTAAATACGCCATTCAATCGGGGTGAGTGGTGAAGTTTTTATACTAGGCAACGGGCTAAATTGTGCCAGCGCGTAAACAACTCAACTCATTTTCCCAGACAAGTGTTTTTGTTATGATGTAGTGTAAAACGTGTTCTATTCGTATTTTTTAACAAGATGTATGAAAAGTTTTTATAATGAAGCGAGGAAGAAATTTAAGTGGAGCGGGTGGCTCACGGAATAGCGATTATTAAAGAAGCGTTTACGCACGATCGATAGTATAGGAACGAAATCAATTAAAACATTTTTTCAGTCTGAAAAAACTGAGGAGAAACCGTCACAGTTGATAACGAGGCACAGTGTATTAAAAATGCTACGGAACCAATGATTGAAGAGCATAACAATTCAAGTTTTGCTACAAAAAAAAAAAGTTTTTTTTATTTTTTATCAATACTTAATTTTCACAAAAATAATTTTTTTCACAAAAATAGGTACTAGGATTGAAAACCTGGATTAAGCCCTGCTGGAGACCTATAGCAAAAATCATGACAAATTTTTAAATTAATTTAAAGTAACATACATATTTATCTAAATACACTAAGTTTTGAAAGTAGGGGTTATGTTTATTTGCGTATTATGTATTAATATTTATGAGTAAAAAAAATTTTCTACATGAGGTCTTAATGAGGTTTTTTTTAAAATTATTTATTTTATTTTTCTTTTATAAAAAAAGGCCCATCCGGGTGGGTCAAAAACTGTAAAACTAGCAATGATTATAATGCCAAATACCAATCTGCAAAGTATGCAACACTAAATAAAAGCGATTATTACATTTTCATCATCTTTAAGTATTAAATAAAAAAGAATTCTATTTTAGATGAAAGTGATTATAATAAAAGAAAAATATCACTAAAAGGTTCCTTATTACTTGGATTTGCATTTTTTAAATCTGAAAAAAAAATTTAGTTTAAAATCTGAGTTTAAAAGATAATTCACTCTAGACGACTGTTCATGTGGGGATTTTGTTACAAATTCTGAACACCATGAAATTGATAGTTAAGATGATTGCTAGATAAGTTTGATGAATTGATAGAATATGATTTCTCATGACTTTCCAGGTGAGCACATACATTAAATGTGACATTTTAAGGACTGTTTTAATGAAAATGCTAACATTACCTATCTTCTTGTGTCATAGCGCGATGAATAGCAATTGCAGGGAAATTCTGCTCCACCAGAAGTTGTGCCAGGGCCATGCACCTAGGTACAGTTCGAACAAAGATTACCACCTACAACAACAATTATATTATTATATCACAAATTATATATCTATTATAAGCAAACAAAATTACAAAAAACAGGGTGAAAGTTTTCAACAAAGAATTATTAATAATAATAAAAAAAAAGAATTCCTTGTATTTTCCTGTTCATATTATACACACTATATTATGAGGAAACTGGGTCACTGCCCTCAGCTATTACTAGAATAGCGATGCTAGCTTTAGTTACTGGAAATAAGGGACAGCTCAAAACCAAAAGAAATAACGCTAATAAATTAAACAGTTTAGTAAAGCTGAACGAACGTCTTCAAATATCTCATAGATTGCGCTTTGAAAGGTCTGCATTTGTTAAAACACAAAAATTACCTTTTATTTTAGATGATTTTTAAATTCCCTGTATTTTCCAGGTTCTCCCTGAAGTGTCAACCCACAGTACATATGATAAATGTGTCTCAAATAATGATAGGAAAGACCTTCTAATAAGAATGGATTTAAATTATAGCAGGGTTCCCACTCAAGTTAAAAAAAAAAATAAATAATTCCCAGTGTTTCCCATATTACACACGATATATTAAGAGGAAGCAACATTAACTGCGCTCTTTTAACAAAGCAAAAATTAAGCACTTTTAAGGACTTTTTTAAAAAAAATTAAGGACCTTGAAAATAGTATGATTGTTGATCATCGAATAAATATATACCACCAGTGACAGTGCTAATTATTTAACTTTCTTTAAAAAAATCAATAATAAAAAAAATAACAAAAAACAATTTTATTATAATGTAAGTTCTGATAAAATTGCTTTAATAATTGTTTCAGGGCTCGCCAAAGTAGGAACCAGACAATTTTTGCAAACCCGGGACGGGTTTTTTNTATAATTGAAGATATCTTATTTTGCTAACCAATTCCTGACAGAGCCACATCCAATGAAATTTTCAAAATAACAGATTTTTTGAAGAGAACGACATAATGTGGAATAATTGCATTGGGCTCTGTACTGACGGTGCATAATCAATGGCGGGACACAAAACTGGTCTTCAAACACTAGTTAAAATGAAAACACCCGAGGTTCTCTGGACGCGCTGCATGCTCCACCGAGCTGCCCTCGTATCAAAAACTATAAGCGAGGAACTTAACATAGTTTTTGCAAAAGTAACGAAAATTATAAATTACATAAAAAGCAGTCCATTAAAAGCAAGGTTGTTAGCAAAACTGTGTGAAGATATGTGAGCTAATTACATGTCACGTCTGTACTATAGTGAAGTGCGCTGGACTCAAAGAAGAAATTGCTATGTTTCTCAAGGAAAATGAAGACGGCAATATGTTTAGGGTTGATAATTTTATTGTTAAACTTACATATTTGGTTGACATTTTTGAAAAATTGAGTGTTCTTAATAAATCAATGCAAGGACCACAAATGCATTTGCTTACACAATAAGACAAGGTGAAAGCATTTATTAAAAAAGTGGAGTTATGGAAATCAAATTTGCAAAAAAATAAGATTAACATGTTTCCACGTTTAAATTTATGCGCCCGAGATAACATAGAAGCAAACAAAAATCTCTTTGTGGAACACTTGAATGATTAGTTGCTTCAATTTTCGAATTATTTTGGTTGATTTTATAAAGTTTGCGTGGATACAGAATCCATTTATTGACGAAGATGATGAATTTAGATTGACAAGTATCGAAAAAGAGAAATTGATTGAATTATCTTGTGATACTACATTAAAACATAAATTTCAGACTGTATCTCTGGATCAATTCTAGTTAAATCTTCATACAGAATTATAACACTTTGTCAAACAAAGCTTTGAAAGTACTGTTGCCATTTGCAACATCATATTTATGCAAAATGGGTTTTTCTGCCTTGGCTGCAATGAAATCCAAATATTGAGCTCGTTTAGTTGTAGAAAAAGAGCTATGAATAGCTATATCGTCATAAACACCAAGATTTGATAAACTTTGTGCTAATAGACAAGCACATCCATCTCATTAAAAACAATAATAAAATATCGTTTTCCATTAGTTTGTATGAATAAATTTTATAAAAGAGAAAATGTTAGTTTTTATTTCATGATATCTCCAGGGGGGGGGGCCCAGTCTATGCCCCCCCCCGAAAAATTCCTGGATCTGCCCCTGTCTTATGTGAACTATAGTGGGCTAACTGCATTTATTAGTCTTAATTGCGGGGAAACGGAAATTGCGGGCTAAACATACTTACGAATACTATAGTAAATGAAATAGTTAAGTATAGCTGAAATATCATGGTTAAGTATCACGTCAATTTTCATCAAAAGACTGATTTTTTTAACTTCTAAATTGCTAAATATTAGATTACGAAGTAAGGGAAAAATCTTAATTGAATGAAGATGGAACAATTGTAATAGATGCTAAAAATATTTAATAACTGATAATTCTAAGACTGCTTATTTTCTAGTTATGGCATAGGATATCCCTGCTTTTTAGAGTCAAAATAAAATTCTCTGACAAGTTCAGATTTTTCCCTGACCTACGGTAGCCCTGTTATTAATTTAATTCAAAACAAAAAGATACTAAGAGAAAGTCTTGAATCCTGAGTAATCATAAATGTTGATGAGAGTGAGAAAAAAAAACAGTACCTGGTTAAATTCAAGAAGATCAAGAAGCTCAAATAATTTCCGGTTTTTTTCATTGTCCTTTAACTTCACGTAATATTGTTGCAGTCCATGAAGGGTTAACTTAGCTTCATCGTCCACGTACACTTCCATCGGCTGTAATGATAGCTCAAATTTATAGCTAAAGGGCTGGACTATCCAGTCTTTAGTTATAAGAGAAGGACATTGTCATTTAAATAGTTATGAATTATAATTAGTTAAATGACTTTTAAAAGCAATCATGCCTTATTTAAATAATATGCATTACTTAAGAATGTCATTTCTTTTTTCATAAAAATAAACAATTATTTGAAAGTAATTCTGACACTTAAAAAAATTCTGATATTAAATGCACTAGAACTTAACACATCAAAAGGCTTAAAAAGTATATTGTGTATTTAATCATTCTAATAATTAAAAGCATTTAAATGTAAACACAAAGTAAAAAAAAACATCCATAAAATAAACAAAAGGCTCCTCGCAACAGAAATATAGTCAAATCCAGTTTTACAGAAATCCAAAATACTCAACGTAACAAATATTTTCTGAATTTCCAAATAAATCTCCATAGAAAAAATGGATTAAAAATACCGATATTACGAAAATGGTAATTCGATTTAACGAAATAATTCAAATATTTTTGCATCTTTAAAATGAAAAGGGACAAGTCGAAAAAGACAAATCACTCGGAAGGGACCACTCTGTAACCCCAACCCGTTCATGTTTGCAGAAGTAAAAATACATGTGGTTTCTAAAAAAAAGAATGATTCCTAACTCAGTTGTTTGAAATGTGCAATAATTTGGAGAAGTCCTTAATTTCTACTAGGTAGAAATCATTTGGACAGAAAAAAATTTACGGATTACGTAATTTCTAACAGCTAAGTGATAATAAATTCACTGTTTTAGTGGGCTTTCAAAATATCACAATTTTATATTTTCTACACATAGAGTACAAAATAGATCAAAACTAATTAAATGCAATATTCATAATTTTTTCATTTGAAGAATTCCAATGTAACAAAATCATTTCGGTTAATATGCTGCCGGAATTCGTAATGTCAGCATTAGGAATTAATGCTACTGCCAACTGCAGAGTGATTGCTCTAGTCCAGAGATATTAGCTAAAACGGGATTCGACCATATAACAAAGAGGGTTACAGTCACACAAGCACAGTAGCTCATTATTTCAAAAAACTAAATGGAGCTGAAATGTTTGCATGCAATAAATTCAGGTCTATTTAAACTTTGAATTATTGTAATAGTATAATGTATTTTATTGTATTGTATAATGTATTGTCACCTCTTAAAATTAAGAGGTTGGTCGACAGTAAGCAGTGATTTGGCTAATAACAATGAATACTTCGCTTACAATTATTATTATATTTGTCTTAAGTTAGGCATAATTGTATTTTATAATAAATCATAGTAAAAATTTAGATATAATTTAAAAATTTTTATAACAAAACATAATAATTGAAAAGTTTTAATGTATAACTTAAAAGTTCGTGTATTGGTATGGAAACCTTACAACCAAAAACTATTTAGTAATTTATTTTATTCAGTAATTTAAAAGTGGCTAAGAAATAAATAAGCTACATTATATTATATTTAGGCAATAATAATAATGTGAACTTTAATTGTTTAAAAACTGCATAAAACATTCCTTAAACTACACTTAAAAGAATAGTGTTACTTTTATTATATACCAGGGCAGGTAAATGTACCAGTAAAAGGAATTACTTTATTTCATTAAATAGTTATTGATACATTATTACGATTATTATTTAAATATATTAACCTGTTAACAGAATCAATTTTAGTCATCGATCAAGATTATCAGGAAAGATCAAATTTAAATCAGGCAGAATTATCAACAGAAATTTTTTAAAAATATTTTATATCATTAACATTTTACATTATCTACCTCCCGTCCTCTTAATGCTACAGCTCAATGTCGGCTGAATGTTCAGTATTCCGTGTTACAGCCAAACCGCGCTTCACGCCACCACTAGTTACAATTAATTCTAAATTTCTTTTCAAATTAACTACAATTTTCAATCAAATTATAAATTCTCTGACAAGAGATAAAATAAAAGTTGATAGCATCCCCCTCCCTTTAAGGACACACTATACATAAAGAATCCTTAATTATCTTTCATAACTACCATCATTAAACCAATCGGCAAGCCATAGTTTTACTGAAAGATAAACAGGGCATAGAAATGGGTTAGAAGAACAAACCAAATACCTCAAATTTAAAAAAACCAAACAAGAATTTTTGAATCACAGCTGCCAACATGGATAAGAAAAAATCCAGTAGATATTACGAAGAATAATAAATTTCATGATAATTGTTGCATAACGTACTAAATATTTTACACATAAGGAATTATAGAAAAACTACAATATTTTCAAGTTATGATTGACATTAAAGATACTTTAAATGTTATATATAAACTCATAATTTCGAATATTAATAAGCATTCAATTCATCAAAGATAGTTAAAAGATTTCTTTCATTAATTTAAAAAGAGAGTTCAGAACAAAAATAAATTGAATATTTTCTAACAAAAGTATTGAACTGATTTCCATAAATTAGGTTATCGACATTATAGAAATATTCTAACAAGCAATCAATAATCTGTACAAAAATTCTATTTCAATAGGGATTTTTTTAGGAAACTTACTAAATTTAAGGGAATTTTCTAAAATGTACAAAAACCTGGACAATTTTAATTAAACCAGTAAACCAAGAGAAATTGGCAAAATCTTTTAGTCTACTGGAAAATCCAGTAGAGTTGGTAGCTATGCTGGAGGAACTACCGAAAATTTAATGTTCTGTAATTTTACATAACACAAATAATTTTATAGTTCACTTTTTGTAACACTAGTCATTAACCAACCGATTTCCATTGCATGATACAATAATAAGAAATTTACATCAGTTATTACACTTAACAAGAAAGCATGCAAAATATTTCACTTTTTTGCACAATATTTTCAACCATCTTCCAAAAAAAACATTTTACTTTACAATCTTTACTAATTGCCCTTGCAGATAACAAGGGGTGCCACTCGTCAAATATTATATGTATAAAAAAAAACTTCATGTAAGATTTATAAGTCATGAGATGTTGAATCATCACGTTATTTCAAATCACAATAATACAGATCATAATGTCTGGGTTACCACAGAAAAAAATTAACAAAATAGTTGCCTTTAAAGCATGAAAATAGTTGCCTTAATAAGAACAAATATTCATCAAAAATAGGACTATAGTCTGTTCAACGAGAACTGATAGCGAAAGTAAACAAAGCGGCGTGCTATTTGGCGCAATACAGCTGTCTACTTGGCGCCGGAATAATGACAAATAGCGCCTATCAGACAAGCAAAAACTCTTATTTTTAGAGGGTTGTTTGTTTCGNGCGATCAAACAGTAACCCTTTTGTTTACTTCCACTCTCAGTTCTCGTTGAACGGACTATAGCATTTTATTAAATACCAAGTCATACCATGATCCTTTTAGTCAAGTTGGCAGTCAATATAATTTTTATATAACCGTTAGTGCTCTAGCACTACATTTTTATAAAAATTTTTTTTTGAATATTTGCAGAAAATTAAATACTTTTAATTGCTAGAATTCAAAAAAAAAAAATTTCTTTTAGCAAACTTGTGTGTGTGTGTGTAAATACACAAATATATAGGAAGTAATTACTCTAATTCGTATTCATGCATAATATTATTGTATAAAAAATTAGGTTTTAAAAAACGTGCAGGTTAATTAGGTTTTAATAGGTTTAGTAGGTTAAAATTAGGTTTTAATAACCATTGAAAAGGCGATTAGGAACGAAAGACTTACAATGGAAACTACAAACTGAATAAATTATTAGCAATTCGAGAATGTCAACATTTTCTATTTTTTAAGAAGAAAAAAAATCAGCGTGTTTAGTAGTCAGGCGACAGGTTTTCTACCCAATTTATGCTTTAAAAAAAACATCGCTAGGAGTACAGAAAAAACACCTTTTCCTGAAAATAGTTGCTTTTTAAAGCATTTTCAGGCAAAAAAAAATTGCCACAGTCGCCACATGCCGAAAATAGTTGCATTTCAGAACATACAGTTACAGAACATAATTAGTTGCACATTAAAACCACATACATAGTGAAAATTGACATGGTAAATAAATCTTTGAAAAGGGAACATCAAGCACTTTTAAACCTCCAACGAAAGAATCACCTTTAAGGGCTTTTAAAAACATTATGCACCAAGCAGTTTAAAGATTTAATATTCTGTTGAAAATATTAACCAGGCTTTATCAGTACTTAATGCTATTCATTAAACAGTTCCAAAAGGAATGAAACACCGTTAAAAAAATCATTGGTTCCCAAATTGGATACTGAATTGTTACTTAGATTAAAAATTGCTTTAGAATCACCTCATGATTTATAAGCTTTGAAGAGTGGCACTCACATTAACAAGTTATTAAGTGTAAATAAGCAGCATTATTTATATATGCATATAATGCTGGTTAGATCAACGGGGTTGCCACTCAAACAGGGTAAAAAAATTCCCCGTGTTTTCCCTCTACATATTATATACAATAGGACTGGGTGATAAATTAATACATCAGAATTTACAGGGGTGATTGTGACACAAAGTGAAAAATTATGAAAACTTTATAAGTAAAAACTCTACATGAGACTTTTATAGTAACTAATTTAAGAAAAATTTAATTCTTATAAGAATTGCGATATTGGATTTAAGAACAAGAATATACAAATTGCAAATCTGGATTTTTGAAACGTGTAAATACAAATAGCGATGCATGACTTTTATATCCCATAAATATGAATAGCGACATTTAAATTTAAATTAGGGTGAATACGAATGGCGACATACGATTTTTAAGAAGCTAGAATACAATTAAAAATTCTTAACTTTTAAATCAGGTAAATACGAAAATCAATGTTTGTTATTAAAATTGAGTGATTATGAATCGCGAAATTAACGGATTCCAACGTTGCTTCAAATATTAAAAGACAAAAATTTTATGAATAATAAAATAAAAAAAATAATAATTCTGAAAGAGTTGTCTGTATGAAAACGTCTAGTTAATGCGATTTAGCGAAAGGGAACTTTTCAAACTTTAAATTGCTATGAAAATTTCATCGGATTATAAGTTTTGATTCGTGAACTTCTGCGAACAAATGGTCTTTAAATCCGTGAAAAAATCACATGCCCCGATCCTAGTTTCTATACTAGGAGGGAGGATACAAAAATACCAGAAATTTTCTGAAATGTGTATTATATTTCCGGATGCATCATTGGCATCGATGTCTGCAAGTTCATGTGAAGAGCATTTTCCGCCCTAAGTGTGCAGTGAGAGAAACAAAATTTCCAGTTTGTAAAGGGGAAAGAAAAAAAAAAAATCAAAATTCTCTGTTATTTCAGGTGATTTTAAAATTCCCTATATTTTCCAGTTTTTCCCAGTGGAGTGGCAACCCTGTTTAAAAAGTGTAACAAAAAAAAAAAAAAAACATTCACTTCTAGAGAAAAACAAAACAAAGATATGGATATTTAAAATGCTGCTGCAACATCAACCTGTGCAAATTCTCATACAATTTTCAATCATCAAACAAAACTTTTAGGCACCACATAAACACGAAAAGATAATTATTTCATTCTATCACTAAATATTTAATGAAAATCTTTTTCAAAAGAAACAATAACATTCCAAGAGCCTTAGTAAACTTGGGCAAAAAGGCTCTGAAAATAATTTTTTTATGCTAAATGTAATCACGTTATACTTAACACTAGAAAGACTGAAATTTAGTACATATATACCTATATTGCCCAAAAGCAGTTAAAATGGCAGGATTGTAAAAGAATAAATAAATGTGTAACAAAATTTATTTAAAGTTAATTTTTAATATTTTTTTTCATTATTTACAGTTATATAACAAGTTATTAGTAAATATAAACAATAAAAAAAATTATATGTTGTACAAAATTCTAAGAAATTTTGTCACTATATACATCATTGTTTTTCTAATTGAAATTAAAAGCAGCCAAAATGACTTCCTTAGGCAATCTAGTGTTAAAGTAGCATTCTGCTGTAGTTTATTTAGTTTCCCAACATTTCTTTTATAGGCAACAACAAGCTAGGTTGGCTTTTTAACATTAAATATTGATTTTAAAACAGGAGAAATTATTTGATTATAGATATCCACTTTGCAATATGTTGAATGTCTAACAGATAAAACTGAGTCCCCAGTGGCAGACTTTTTTTTGGGCTTTCTGCAATATACTTCTCTAATACTAATATTTTTCTGCAAGATACTTTTAAAAATAACAAATATATGTTACTAAATTAAAGTAACAAAAGCATCAACTTCAAAAAAAAAAAAAAAAGTGATTTTTTTTATTCTATTGTGGGCTATATTTTGGGGAAAACACACTAATTATTTCTTTTTTGTAAATCATCATCTCATAAAAAAATCGTGAAATTCGTAGCAGCAAATCAGACTCTTTAAAAAAGGGTTACTAAAAGTGAGTTTTCATTTAGAGATTCAGTTGTCATAAATAATATTATTTTGAAAATATCGGATTTTAAAACTATGTGGAAATCAATATTAGCAACTGCATTCATCTTTATTATTCATTGTTCTCAAATGAGAATAGAAAAAGCATTTTATCCCACTCGGATAAGAGAGAAAGGCATCTTTTGAACATAATTCTGAAGAAAAGATAAAATCTTTGGAAAATTTCTGCAGAAAAAAGAAACTTTTTTACTACCCAAAAGAAAAATCTTCCTGCGGCAATGTCGCCATGATTCTGCCACAGAGACTGAGTCATAATAAGTAATTTTATTAACTTCATAGTAAGATAAACAATGGGAGATATAGACACACAGAAAGTTCTTAAAACTGATAACATGTAAAAATTGTTCTTAGAAATCTTAATACAATATCTTTTTTTCTGTGCTATACTCTATATTTTTTTCTTTATTACAAAATGTACTATATTCTCATTTAGCATAAATTTAAGCAGCTTATATAACTAAAGGAATATAGTATAAATACCTTAAGTCATTGACAATAGATATTTGATAAGGGGTTTTCGCCGTGAGATTTTTATCCACTATTCAAAGAGCCGAAAAACATTGAAAAACTTGTGAACACTAACAATTAGATTGAAAAACTTGCAAATAAATTATAAGAAAAATTTGTTTTGATTAACTGAACTAATTATGGAGTAGATAAACATTTTGCAAACCTTGGTATTTAATGAATTTATATATATATACACACACATTTATATTTCTTTAAACAATTTATCAAAAGCTATTGAAAATTTAAATACATGCATACAAAGTTCATTGAATCACATTAAGACATAATCAACAGTCCAATTAACCCTTTGTGGTTGTACAGTAGGGAACCGATTATCCGGAACGATCGGGACCATCGCTATTCCGGATAACTGATTTTTCTGGCTTTCTGAATGGCTACAAAAAGCAGTTTTTTTTTATTGCTAAACCCAACTGAAAAAAATTTTTTTTTAAAGAAATAATCTTAAAAAGACGAAAAAACGATGGAGTAATACACTAATGATTATTTCCAAAATGATGGTAAGGTAAACATCTTTCAAAAAAGAAAGAAAAATCCTAAAATTTTAAGAGGAAGAAAAAAAACGTCAGGAAAATTTATCGAATTTTGTTCCGGTTTTTTGGTTTTCCGACTTCCGGATAACGGGTTCTGTACTGTATTAAGTTTATAAATGGGTGTAGGTAATGCTGGTCGGAATTAATTGCCAGAGAGCAGACATACGACCACAAATGGTTAAACATTTATGACTGAGGATATTAAAATTCATAATAGACAATTAGATTAACTGCCAGAGAGCAGACATACGACCACAAAGGGTTAAACATTTATGACTGAGGATATTAAAATTCATAAGAGACACAGTAGCAATGGATCTGTAAATAACTAAAACTCGAAAAAAAGAAAAAGTAAGTTTTAAATTCACAAGATATATTGTAATACACTTTGGAAAATTCTTTAGAAATGAAAATACATTAAACATTTCGGATAAGTAATAAAAAACATACCAAGTTATATTTATAAATTAATAATTTAAAACAAAATTCTATATTAGTTTGCCAGAGTTGGGGTTTTTAGACATTCATTAGCATTTCAGAATTTAAATCATTTCCCTAATATATATATCAATATTTTCAGAAACTAAATTCTTTTAAAAGAACAGAAGAAAAAAAAATTCTTCAGGTTGCATTTTGAGCTGGATAACTCATACTTTTAAGACAGTTCGTTTCTAACAATACCACCGGTTTATTTCTAATATCATCTAGCCAAAATTAGGAGTATTTCAATAGCATTTTTTGAACATTACGGAAAAAATATATGCATAAGCTTCCTTCCTGTATAGGTCCGGGGTGATTGTGAGCCCAATTCAAAAATCCGGAAAATTTCTTGAGAAAAATCACTAATGACGCATTTCAAAAAATTAATGTCTTTGTAAATTTAAATCACCAATATTTTCAAAACATGAAATTCCAAATAAATTGTACACAGCATAATTTAAATAAATAATTATGGATAGGTTTACTTTTATCTCTAATCATATTTATTATTGAACCAGAAAAAAATATTTACAAATGAAAAGGATGCTAGCTTTAACTTTTTAAATAAAATATACAAGAATTTTTATACATAAACGTGATCGACAATTTCTCGAAACTTCTGGACCTCGGATTTCCGAAAATTTCCAGATCGCAGTCAGTGAAAAATTTGGACATTTTCTGGAGCACAATTCATCTCAGATAGGTGAAATGAATAAAAAAAAATAAAATAAACATTACACGAAATTGGTTCATCCACAAAATTGGTCTTTGCACAACCAAACACTGACGATTAAACGGATTCCTTGTTTATACTTTCCATGCTATCAAAATAGGAAGCACACATTCCTCCCCTCCCACAGAACCTATAAACATCACCAGCTCCCTCATGCCCAGCCACCCACCTATTTCAACACAAGAAAATTATTCAAACATCTCCCACAACTGTACTGCTATTTGAATCCTTTTTCAAACATCGTGACTAACATCAGTGAAGAGATTTTTCATTCAGCCATAATATATTTGGAACTGTCTAAAAGTAGAGCATACCAGTAGCACAAAAATATTAAAATTTGTGAATAAAGATGAGACATTACATCTTGCATGAACTTCTTGCAGACGGGACGAATTTCTTTACTCAGCGTCGCACTGAACATCATCACCTGCTTCTCGTGGGGGGTGCTGCGGAAGATTTCTTGAACATCTCTTCTCATGTCTACAAAAATAATAATTCCGTTAGTCGCATGCCTTAAGAATTTTTTTGAAGGAAATTTTTTTTTTATTCTCAAAAGAAAGAAAAAAATATATCATGAGCATTTATTTCACAGAGAAAGCTGCATTTACTCAAAATCAATTATTACATATGCGAGAAAGGTATTTTTTAAAAATATAATTCTGCAGAAGAAAAATTCTCCAGCCTAACATTCTCTGCTTCCCCCCAAAAAAATCTTTCCGCAAGAACTCAGTAGTGTTTTGAGACAATGTTGCCACGATTCTACCACAGGGTTCATAAGTAAAATTTTGCAGAAAATTGCTAAAATATTGGAGGTTTTTGATGTTAAATTTGTCTTTTCTACTATTTTCAAGGAACAATGCTTTTATTTTTGATAATATCTCAGAACAATTAATAAAAAGTTGCACATCAGTTTAATACTTTTAAAAGATATAGGTACACCTAGGTAATTTCGTTACTTCTAAATCTTTACTTTTGTAACAATTTTTAATTTATTCATCAGTTTTCAATAAGCTATAGGCGGTTAAATGAATGGATACCATTGGAAAATTTTAACCACAGTAAGTCAATCTCTAAAAGGTAGTTTTTTTTGAAGAAGAAAACAAACACATACTAATAGAAAATGGGATAAATAATAAGATAGGTAAACTATATCAAAATAGGTCATCTTGCATAATTTTGCATTTTGAGTTCAAAAAAACATTCAGATGCACTCTTCATGTTTTACATCTGACACCAAATTACATACATAAATTGTATTGTGCCACTAATATTAAACATAAAAAAATTGTTTTTTCAGTTTAAAGAAAGATTCTGTGTTTCATTAGTATAGTCTGTCTTTAAAAATAATATTTTTACTGTAAATTAATAATCAATAACTTTTATGTCCAGAGCCACTGCTTTTCTTTTGATTGCATTTGTTTTAATCTATTTAAACATCATGTTTAGCTTCTGCTTTATAAAATGAAATAAAAAATTAATAGAACAATTACTAATTTAAAGTAACAGAAACGTCGTCTTTACAGAAGAAAGTATGGAAAAAAAATTTCTAATTGTAAAAGTAATGTATTTTTGATTCTAATATTATAGGCAATATTCTCGCATTTTGTAGACGAAAAAATACGCTAATTATTTCCTCGTTCGAATTTTGCAACTCATTGCACAAATTAAAATTTGTTAATAAATTTAACGATAATAAATTGATATTCCTACATAAATTAAAAATCTTAAAATCTGTGCAAAATCTCCCAAAATAAAGATCAACAATGATATCACATGAATAGGACTCTTTAAAAAAGAGATACTCAAATAAGTTCATGTGTTTCTAATACATAAAAATTGGCAATTATACAATTTTGTTTAATTAATATAAAGTCTTTTTTTAAGTTTATTTCCTTCTTAACATCCATATTTCATACATTCAATCAAGAAACATGAAGACTGGTCATTTGACCGGCTATGGTAGAAACAGGCATCGATAAAGTGTTGGTATGTTTAGTGTTAAAGAAGAAATCAGGTGATTTGAATAAATGATATTTTTCAAAAATATGGTTTGATGTTCAGAAATTAATGAACATTGTTACCTAAAGCTTCAAGCATTTTATCACATTCATCCAGAACAAAATGTTTGATGTAACGGAGATTAAGTTTTTTGCTTTTTACTAATGCCAATATTCTTCCAGGAGTTCCAACAACAATGTGGGGACAGTTGGATTTCAGAATTTTTTCATCATTTGTTATAGTCATTCCACCAAAGAAGACGCTCACTTTGATTGTTGGCATGTATTTCGAAAAACGTTCATACTCCTTGGATATTTGGAAAGCTAACTCTCTTGTGTGACACATGACCAAGACAGAAACCTATTAAAAAAAGAAAACATTTTTTAGATTTGTCATGCACACTAGAGGATTACACGGTGCATTACCAAATCTTTCAACAAAAAATAAGTGCTTTATTTTTTGTTGCATAATAATTAATTTAAAAATAACTTTTAAGTACTTTTACACCTATTAAATACTATACATGGGTGCAAGTCGGAGAGAAGGCCAAGACTGAAAATTTTTTGACTGAAATACCTAACATGCACAATACCCCCTCGACATATGCAAACTATCGAAGAAAGCTTTACCATAATACATCAAGTTTAAATACTGTACAAAAAATATTTATTCATCTGTCCTTTGATAAAATAACAACAGGACATAAGAAAGTAGACCAATAACGTAGACCTAAAAAGTATTTTTAAGGACAGGGAAAAAAAATTCTGATTTCCGTCTTCGAGTCAGTTTTGTTTCCGTCTTACTTCCGTCCGCGGACATTTTCGAAAGACGAAAATCCGTCCTGGGGACGGAAAACTTGCATCCATGTACTATATACATTAACAAAATGTAAAATAATTTACATGTTTATGTTAAATTTAAAAAGGGATTTCTGAATAAACAGAACATTTTAGAAACAAAAAAAAGTCTTAAACTGATTTCTATAAATGAGGGTTGCATCCTTATATGTTAGTAATACTTATTTAAATATTCAAGCAATAATTCTATTTCAATAGGGAATTTCTGAGGAAAATTACTCAATCTTAGGGAATTTCCTAAAGTGTTCAAAAACTAGGAGAATTTTTATTAAACTAGTAGAGCAAAAGAAACTGGAAAAATCCAGTAGAGTTGTCAGCTATGTATTAAGTAATTCTGGTGAAGGGAAAATTTGTTATTTGGAGATATATTGTTAAAGAAGGTAAACATGGTTGCTAGACAGTTTTTGGCAGTTCTGATTTGGCCTCTTTTTACTTGTTCATTACTATTTGTTCTTGGTGCAACCATCATACATTAGTGTTCGCTTTACAAATTATGGTTTAAATTACAATGTTGGTCTTGAAATGACAGATTCTTCTTTTAAATGAAAATAATAAATTGGGTAACAGGGGTTTGTGTTGATTTTTTTAAGAGGTACTTATTTTGTGAAAATTTAGAAATAATTTGTGAAAATTAAAAATTATATTAAAAATTCAAGACAAAAATATGGTTAAGTAGGAAAATATTTTCAGAAATTGTCACTACAAGTAAAAATTATTTTATACTGTTAAATTTCTATTTTTTCTTGTATTTTTTCTTATTAAAGGAATACCATCAGTTCCAGCCAAATCTATGCAATTAAGCGGGTTATTCAATTAAAAGGGGAGTGCACTATTCAATCTTAAATTCTATATTTTTGCAGAATTTNGTTAAGTAGGAAAATATTTTCAGAAATTGTCACTACAAGTAAAAATTATTTTATACTGTTAAATTTCTATTTTTTCTTATTAAAGGAATACCATCAGTTCCAGCCAAATCTATGCAATTAAGCGGGTTATTCAATTAAAAGGGGAGTGCACTATTCAATCTTAAATTCTATATTTTTGCAGAATTTTACTTTTTAAATGGTATTTATGGCATAGCATAGCGTTTTGATTAAATAAACTCATTTTTATGATCAATAAGCAATTATTAATACTAGTACCTTATATAGAAACTTATATAGTACCATAAAACTTAAATGTCATTTAAAGTTACATAAAATCAGAATTTTTATTTTCACTTTATTATTTTCTAATTCTCGAAACTTAAGAGATTCCAAATCAATGCCCTATTTTACAATAGCTTGGGAGTTTTTGAAACTTATCAGGGGTCTGTTCAGAAGAAATTTGGGTCCGTTAACAGACCCTTCACAAACTATCTTTTCATAAAAACGGATCCTTCACAAAATATTTTAACTTAAAAACGGACCCTTCACAAAATATTTTAACTTAAAAATGGACCCTTCACAAACGATTTTCTTTTTAACCGGACCCTTCATAAATTTGTTTATCTTCATTATTATTTTGTTAATCGAATAAATCCTTTCCTGGGCAGAAAACAAGAAAGATGGATGTAAACAAATTAAGTTTTGTCTTCGGCCGACGATTCTTTCATTATTCGTCTGAAATGAATATTCTGCGTTCAGCAGTGTAGGCTAAATACCAAATATTTGTATGTTGCATCTCTAATTTAGAAACAGCAATTGTTGTTTATTTTTTTAAAATGTAATTTTTTTAATTATAATTTTACAATGTTGAGCATAATCTTGTATGTCTTTACAATTTAAAAACTCCTTGAAATTGTTTTTTTTTTTTTTGCAATAACGGACCCTATTTGCACAAATTCATCCCTGGTTGAAAGAATGCGAGTAATTTTTTCACAATTTCATGAAAAACGGACCTTTCACAAAATGTCTGGACAGACCCCTGCTTATTGTTTCCAAGATTCATTATTTTCCCCCCCTTCGATTAATTCAAATTATTCTTTTTCGCGCACAACTTGCAACCATCATTAGTGATGTGCGAAAAACGAACGAATCGATATTTCAATCAACTCTTTTTTGTGAATCGATTCATCAAGTTCGTTTTTGAAAAAGAATCGATTCTTTTTTTTTAATTTTTTTTTTTACAATATTTTGTACTCTACACTTTATAAGCTTATTCAGAGTTAGTACTTATACTTACTAAACATCCGCATATGCATTTGATACAGCATTTCGTTTATACAATTGGAGCTTGCTAAAATCCCAACTCAGTCGAATAGACACAGGTACATTCTCACTCGAGTATCATGTGAATGACAATCTGATTGGTTGAAAATATTTACATGCGAACAACTTGCCANTTTTTTAGCCACATTCGGCTGACCGCTTAACTGGAATATTCTGCTTCTGCACCCTAGAGCGTAAGATCTAAATTAATAGTCCCCAATTGGTGTTCCGAAAAGCCCTATGGTTCCGTGGAAAGGTTACAGCGGCAACACGAGATAGTACTTTTATCAGGTGTTCCGCCGAAAGAACGTTAATTATTTAGAGTTCCATGGCAGAAAAATATTGAGAGCCCCTGACTTAGATCAACTAATTCAAATACTAAAATAGTCTAAACTAATTTGTACGACCACCTTTTATAAAGACTCATCCATTATAACGACCATTAAAAAAAGAATCAAAGAATCGATTCATATAACCGTTCATTTTAGTGAATTGATTCTAAAGAATCGATTCATTTAAATGANCCTGCTTATTGTTTCCAAGATTCATTATTTTTTCCCCTTTCGATTAATTCAAATTATTCTTTTTCGCGCACAACTTGCAACCATCATTCACTGGATTAAGCAATGATTATTCTACTTAAGAGAAAGACTACGTAACACATTGTATATGTGTTAGATTTTTGAAACTTTTTCTTTTCAATGCTCATAGCACCCTAGGAGGGAGTAAATTTATTCTGTACAGACCCCTTCTTATGCAAGATATACTACTCAAGAGAGACACAATGTTGTGAGGGCTTCGAAACACACCATAAACAATAACCCAGAAGTACAGGTACTCAAGAGCTTGCAACGCAGTGTTAAAAAACACTATCCATTGCAAAGATTGACAATTAAAAAGTTACACAAATAATTTTCTTATTTAAAGTAACAGAAAGTACAACTAATTTAAAGTAACATTATGTTTACTGAAGAAAGTTTAGAATAAAAATGTATAAAAGTGCTTAATTGCAAAAGTAATATTTTTTAGTTCCAATATTATATGCGATATTCTCGAATTTTGTAGGTGGAAAAATGCAATAATTATTTCCTCTTTCAAATTTTGTACACAAATTAAAATCTGTAAATAAATTAAAAATCGTAAAATCCTTACATTAACTCCTAAAATAACGATCACGAATAGAACTCTTTAAAAAAAGATACTCAAATAAAAGTATGTAAAATATGGTGTTCTGTAAAGGAAGAAAAAAATGAAAGAAAGGACATCATTTCTAGAGCAAATTACCTTTTATACTTCTGTGATTTCTGAATTTCTTATTATTAATGTGAAATTCGAGCTGAAGCCAGTCATTACCGACGTTTTTAAAAATATCAAATGAGAATAGAAAAATCATACTTGTTTCTATCTTTTATGATGCGCAAGAAAAACATCTTTGAAAAAAAAATTCTGCAGAAAAAACATGTATTTTTCGAAAAATTATGCAGAAATTTGGGTTATTATAAACAAAATTTTCCTCTTCCCAAATAAAAAATCTTGTTGCAAAAACTATCATTCTGCAACAATGATTTACAATATTATTCTAATTAAACTTACTTGATTATCAACAGGATCCAATTGCTGCAACGTTGCCAAAACAAAAACTGCAGTTTTACCCATGCCAGATTTAGCTTGACACAATATATCCATACCAAGAATTGCTTGAGGAATACATTCGTGTTGCACTAGAAAAATAAGTTCAATCAATGTACATAGCCATATTTTTCAACAAAAAAATAAGCACCTTTTAAGCAGTAAAAAAATATTTGTAAGCACTATATACATTAACAAAATGCAAATTAATTTTCAGACTTTTACATTACCATGATACAATAACTAGTTTCTGGCAAAGCATTCTTTTTTATTATTATACTAGTTATTACAAAATGAAGCCGGAAAATTGAGAATATCTCGCGAAATGTAGCAGAGTTGCATTTGAGATAACAAGAATCTCATCGAACACAGCTCAGTAGACATACAACACGGACCTACAAATATTTCATCAAACACATAAGTAAACTGATTGGCACTTTCATACATTACAGACTGTACACCGAAATAGATTACGGTGAATGAATTGTAAAAATGTTGAATAGAACAATGTGAAAACCACGCTTTTGCATAATATGTGGCAAAAATTGACATGGTAACGAAAACAAATCTCTTTTCAGAAAAGAGAAAATTAAGCACTTTTTAAAAACACTCAATGAAAAAAGCACCTTTAAGGGCTTTCAAAAAATGAAAATTAGCACCTTTAAGCACTTTTTAAAAACGCTATGCACCATGATGTTATGCAACTTAAATTTTATTAACATTCAATTAATACCTCCATTTTCCACTCAGAACTCCTGTTTCATTTTTAACAGCTATGTGAAGAGAGGCCTTATTTAAATATTCCATTTTAATATTTAATAAAATATTTTCAGCATTTAACCTATTTTGTTAACACTATACTGCAATTATGCACAGAAAGAAATTTTTGAAAAAATAATTTCAGTCATTTAAGATTTTCAATTGGAAAATGTTTTATTATGCCCGTAAAGAAAATTTATTTGAAGTTAGTAAAAAGTGAGAAATATTACAATACGTATAATGCCACAGAATTTTTCAACCAAGCATGAATTTTTTTAAAAAAAAATTAGTGTTGCCGACGTAACATAACTACCGAAACATACACGGATGCTATTCACCGAAATTTGTGCAATTAAATTGTGAAGTGCACAAAGAACAAATGACTTAATTAACACAGCACTTGTATACGCTGTTCTGAAATAAATAATGACATTTTATTTGCAAATCAGAAGAAAAAAAACTATCCTGATCTTCTGTGTCCATATTTTTTTTTTTTAAAAACAGGTACTAAGCTTAGCCTATCCCATATCTAAAGAAATAAATTTTTGAATTTTTACCAATTATAAAGTTTTTAACAACTAAAATAAGAGTTTCTAAGGAGAGTCTGAATTAAGGTTTATAGAGATGAATGCATGAGGGTCATTTGAGGAATGGTGGGTACATCTTAATATTTCAGACATAAAAAATATTTTTCTGAAGTGAAAATCTCTTGGGCAAGGTTTAGGACAGAATGGATTAATCCACGGTTTTAAACCCTTGTTTAAACCGTCCTGTCCAAAACCCCTTTACTCAAATTATGTCAATATTTAAGAGGTAAAATAAACATAGAACTCATAACATATTGATAATTAAATATACTAGAGAATATTTGTTTTTAAAAGTATAATGTTTTATTAATATTGTTTGACTCTTCAATTTAAACAAAGGAAGATTAATCAGTAATCAAGTACAATTGGTCCTCTCATTTAATAGTACATAACTGAAGTTTGACCTTGCCAGACAGGTTAAAATATTAGGGACTAAGTGCTTGGTTCATCATAAACAGGTTTATTTATCTATAGTACTATTCAAGAATACTTTTATTTCATTCATGTTCAATTCTTTTAGCATAGTGGTGATACATCACCAGTGTCAGTAACTGAAACTGATGTTATGCCCTTCAAAACTGTTAATAC